CCATATCGCAGCCCTGTAAAGAAAGTATTTTTCTTCACGGAAATTTGTATGGTTTCATACTCGTATCCCCTTCAGATACAACACTTGACGTGTGTTATTGTTTCATAGTTATGAAGCCTCGTTTTCAGACTTCAAAATGACCAAGAGAATGATGGGAAATGTAGACCCAATCAGTGTACCAATTAAGCCACAGACGGCCAGACTTGATGGAAATTACTCTCTAGAAACCACATGATTTTTAACAGATAAGATAAGTAAATCATTAATTATGACCTTAACCAGGTTTTGAGATTCCATAGATAGACTCAACCTTTCAAAATTTTTGCAAATGTGTAGAAAATTCAACGACTGTCTTAATTCTTAATTTTCTTAGCAACCTGGCCTCTTACCTAAGACTTCATAAATTCTTGATTTCTTAGGGACAGGCAGGACCCCATGGGCTCCTGGGATAGGTTATTAATTGTCGCCTGGGGGAAGGGGGGGGAGGTCGCAGGTGTTTGGTTGTGTCACCATAAAATTTACCTAATTATCCAACAAGTAATGTTATTATGACTCCTCTCCCCTTCGCCCCTCATTGTATTTGCAGTTTCTTGGCAGTCAATTTTCTCTTTAGTCCTCCCTTTATACTCTGTCTGCGACGACTCTGGTCCACGCATCCCCCCCCCCCCCCGAAAACCATGCTGAAAAGTTTTTCCTTAACGAAAGTTTCATAAAATAAAACTACATTAGTTCCAAACGCCTAGTAGAGCAAGGGTAAATATCTTATAGCGCTCTTGGAAAACTCAGAGTGTAAACAAGCAATTTCACGAGTCGCGGCGGGAAAACTACTTGTCTCCTGGATTGACCGCGGACATTTTGTCAACGCGTACTTCGTTTAACTCTCTCACTCCCTTGAGTGACCAAGAGAGAATTTCTCCTCACAATATCAGTACAATATCAAACAGACAAGTGGTGAGAATAACGAAAACTATAAACAAGGGGATTATTTGTTGATCCAATAACAAATTATCCGAACTTACATCGTATAAAATGTATGGCAGACAGTCAAGAAAATTACCAATAAGATCTGGAAGGGGAGTGTGAGTTGAGAGAATATGTCTCCATGATCAATGAAGGTTTCTATAAACTACGCGTCATGCTGTGAAGTTATTTTTATTTTTCGCTTCGGTGATGGCGCGACCACGAGATCATTTGTTGCATCGGTTTCTGGCTTGCGAATAATTTCACTAATGGTCTGAGGTCGTAGTTCTTGGGTACAAGTCGAGAGTGATCAGTGAAAAATTGTTAATATGAAATCAACTATTGATGGTCATGCCCTATTATTTGAGTGAGAAAATTCTTGAGTGAAACACGTCTTGTTCAAACAAGAAAAAAATGTCATGTACAACACAGGTTACACGGCAGAACTCAAATGGTGCAGTCTGTTGTCATTGCCATTGTTGACAGAAATGCGATTATTTTTGCTTATAACCTAAAACTCTGTTTCTCTTTGGTGTAAGATTTCTTATATAAAGATTTTCCTCTTTGAAGTAAATAAGCCAAAATTATATACCTGTTTGTTTTCCTGGGACCCAGCAAGTGGCCATTGCTTCAGTTGTAACAAGCTAGAAACACTACAGCGGAGGTCGCAGAGTAAGACGGCATGTAGCGTTGAATAAAATACATAATATTTTAACCTTTGGATGAATTGGAAGCAAAGAAATGATTCTCGCGGATGATTTGCAATTAAAGGAATTGGAGAAAGGAAACCTGAGAAAAAAATTAGCCTTTGACGCGATTCGAATGTGTGCCTCGCGAATACTGCTGGGGTGCTATTACCAACTGAGAAAATGAAATTGAAACTTTTTTCAATTGAAGCTCACCTGCGGGAACCATTTCTTTACTTCTACGACAAGTTGAATATTAATTTGTACGTTCTGGATCATGCGAAGGGCGGGTGAGAGAAGATGTACGTGTACATGTATGAACATATTTTGACAGTACCTGGTCCGTCACAAGGAACTCTTATGTTTAGCGATTCCAGTCAAAAACCTTCAATTGTCTTTGGGTAAAAAATAAAAATTTTCCCTGGCAGACTTTGTAATCGGCTCATTGAAAAAAGAAACCTCTAATACGCATATATTTCTGAATTTAACAATGTTAAAGTTAATGGTGTCTGGATTTTCATATGCTGATTCATTTGAAATAATTATGTGTGTTTCTGTGGAATTGTTTTAAAAGAGAGCACACCGTGATGTCTATCAGACAGAAAATAAATGTCATTAAAGGTAATCCTAGACAAACACGGAAAAAACATGAAAGGCTAAGTCGCGCCTGATCAGTTTTGGTTTTACATCTGAATGCTTGAGAAAATTTGCCCGACCAGTTACAGTGTAATTAGAGCGATCCCGATTGAAAATTGAAAATTTCTCGGAATAAGTTAAAATCTATGGATTACCGCTCGTTATTGTTAATTACAGGATTTTATGGGAAAACCTGAGAAACTCCTCTTCAAGTAGGTTTTTTGCTTAGCTTCAGGTGATAGCAGTGTTGACCAAGATGACGATCCCTTAGCCTACAGCTCAGGCGTCATTTTTTAGCGGCTTGTCAGGGGACAGAGGAAAAAGCGCGGTGAGCGCCCGCTCCCCTCCTAGTGCATGACTCACGCTTCGAACTTGCCTATGTTCGCCTGAAAACGCAAAAAAAAAAATTACGCCTGTTCTACAGGCTAAGGATCCTTAGAAGGTGGAGTTGACAGAATGAGTTCCTCGGCCTTCCACGTTCTTTGTTTGAAAGTTTCTTTGAAGTGTAACTGCTGCTATCACACAAGCGTAGCATATAAACAGGGTACAAGATGGATAGAACTGAAATGGTTTACAGACCTTAATGCCTCTGATAAAAAAAAGCTAAAACTAATCTTCTGTTCATGTACTGTATTAAACGAGATGAATCATTGTTTTAGTTTCGGTCCTTTGGTCTAAGAGGAAGTCATCTCAAAAAGTTGATTATTATCTCGAAATATGCCCACCTGTGTCGTAATTATAGCAAACACAGTCATAGACCCAAGTCGTTAGGCTCTCGATAAAATATGACAGTTAAGGCTAAAAGTGCATAACAAAACTACCAAACATGAGTTGAACAGTGTTTTTTGTGGGGCAGAAATTGCAAACGTGTTTGGAAAGATGAAGTGGGCACGTGTTATTTTTAATTTTTAATTTTTTTTTCTTAAAGCGCTGTGTAGAATATTTTTAAGCCTCAAGGACTCTGGATATTTTTTTAAAATAGATTTTTATAAATGAATTTTTAATGACTTTTATCATCCCTTGTATATTGTGATGTTTTTTTACATTTTCAAAGATAAGGTTTAGAATGTAACTCAGTTATTTTAAGGATCGAATTTAACACCTGAATCGTTGGATTAGTGGTACAAAAAAAAATTGTTCGTTGGGATGTGAAATTTAACTTTGGAGAGGTTCAAATCACTGATGGAAAATCTCTTCAGCAAAAGAGTTAACATGCAGTGGAGTTTATTGCGAATGCACGAATCAGTTCTAATTAAGTTCAAGACGAGAATTCCCTTTTACGCGCGCTCGAAAGTAAAGTTTTAAATCGATAAATAGATTCCTTGTACATGTTACCATGGGTCTGTTCTGTTCAGGTAGTAGATCACAGTTGACGTCAATGTGGTGAAAACATCAGTGACACTCGGCGGCGCCTAGTGTGTTACATTTGTTAATAGTTACTTATTCCATGCGTCTTGTCCTCTTATTATCGCCAGAAATCAAGGACATTTCGAGCCCGCTAACAATTATCAGCGGTATATCATACTACACTCCGGAACAATAGAATATCAAGAGAATTCAATATGGCGGCGATCACGGCTCGATCTGCGAAGAAGAGTGTTTCGTACCATGACTTATACAATTTGAGCACCGCAGATCTTCTATTTGATGAAAAGAAAAAGAAAAGAAGACCTGCAAGTAAATCTTTGGGATTGGACGTAAATCTTTGGACGCCATTATGGACGAAATGCGCAAGCGCGGCCGCCATCTTGTCCAATATTTCTGCCGATGTATATCATAGGTAAAAAAACCAAAAAGAACACGCGTGCATAACTCAGCTTATCATTGAACTTGGTTTGTCTACCACAATTATACCACAAAATGACCAATTCAAATAAAATACGTGCATTTTCCCAACCGTTGAACGTTATTTCAAGTGCTGTGATGTGCGCTGAGGACATTCAAAGAGGTGTACTTGATTGGTTTTGCTGAGAATGTTGTGCAAAAGTATTTCATGCGATTTCTGACACTAATTCCATTTGAATGGATTTCCCATCAAAAGAATGAATACACATTTTTAAGAACGCTTTTTTTAATTGTTTTCTACACCCACTTCGTTGGAATACAGTTGTGATCAACAATTTTGTCAATACCTCTACCTACACCTTAAATGACTTGTAAGAACAAAGCTAAGCAGATCAATGCAGATATCATACTCTTAAAAGCTAAAATCTCATTTATGCATTTCTTAGCCTTCACAAATAGAGCAATAGAGCGGTTTTCAATTAAATGTCGAAAGTAAGCAAGGATTGTTTTGGTTTTGCTTCACTTTGTCCTGTGATTGGTCAAAAACTAAAAACAATCGTGACTTGGTCACCCGCGTTTTCCCGCGCTTTATGCAATTTAGTTGTCTTTACTATGAGTTCTCATTGGCTCTTCAGAAAACGTTTTCCTGCGCTTTATGCAATTTAGTTATTTTTACTCTGAGTTCTCGTTGACTTTTCAGACAACTTTAGTTTGGGTTTTACAACACCCAATCGAAATGCGCTCTATCGTGTAACAAGATTAATTTGAACTGAAGCTATATATACAAGTAGTAATAGGAACAAACCGCTTTCCACCCATGTTAATGATTATAATACTGTTGCTGCATTAACAAACAAACAATGGTAGCCTAGCTCACAAAAGCATTAATTTGAAGCTAAACAGTATAATTTAAAGTAGCTATTGTGACCCAAATATTTTTTTAATCTTCTTTGCTAGAGTGCATAACTGCATAACGTGTTTACTATACACAGTAAACTAACGTCCAAAGATAGCATTGGTTTAACTAAGCTTAGATATACAGATTATATTGCTGCACATGTTCGTTGAAATCGAAGAAATGTAAAATGGTTTCCGTGTTTACATAGCCTGATGTAAACACGCGGGAGGTTGGGAGAACACGAGATAAGCGTAGGAAACCACGACGCGAAGCGGGGTGGTTTCCAGCTTATCGAGTTATCGCTCCGTGATTGGTTGGGGAAAACTCGGCCAATCAGCTGAAAAACTAAAACCAATTTTGATTGGTCACTCGCCTTTTCCCGCCTTCAGGCAGTTTGCGTGTTTTCACTTTGAGTTCTCATTGGCTACTCGCGATATTTACCTATATTCTGATTGGCTATTTTGACTGCTTTGTTTTTTTTGTCTGAGCCTAATTTACATCATCAACTCAGTTGATAAAACCAGTTATCTTGCAACACCTTATCTAAAATTGCAAATTTAATTGAATTCTTCACAACTGTAGCTATTTAAAGATCTTGAAAATGAATCGTCACCGACTGTAGCGATTCGGCAAACGGTGAAAACCAACTCTCTTCTCACAAACCTTCTATCAAATGTAGACTGGAAAATTGAGGCAAAAGATCTTTTGATGATGGTTAATACAAATGTTTTAAAGTATAATTGAAACGGCTGAAGACAGATGGCAACTTTTCATTGACGTCATTTGCCACCAACGTCGTGCTAACCTCTCCAATAATCGACCGTTTTCATCTTCATTTAAATCGATAGTGATCGTCGCTTGGTTGGAAATCCTTAAAGACTGCACCATTCAATCTTAGACTAATTTGATTCATTTTATCTTAATGATCACCCTCTTTGATCCCCTTTGAATTGCAATTCAGTAAAAATCATTATTATTTTGTTTCTTTCTTTGTCGTTTAGTTTTCTATTTTATTTTACGCATACAATTCATTTCGAAAGCAGAGTTGGTTGGACGCATCAATTTTGGGTCAAAACGAATAGATTTTGAGCGACTTAAAATGATTATTCTGCCGTTCGACACGAAATCATTCTAATGAACGCTCTGCGGTAGAAATTACTCATCATTCCGTAGAAAACAGGATGCAGGGCATTTGGTAAGTTTGTTAAAGTAAAAGCAAACCTGGAAAAAGCGTAGCGATGGGTCCATTGTGTGAACGACTCCACGTTAAACTCAAACAATAGGAACTGAATTTGATAAGGAATATAGCAAACTACAAATATCAGCACGATCGCAAAAACCATCTTTAGTATGTCGCTCTCCAGGTCAAAGCTGGCTTTGTTTTTTCTCGAGGATTCGTTGCTGTTTGGCATCAGGGGGTTCTCAGTTTCCTTGTTATTCTTTCCCATGTTTCTGTACGGAGAGTCCGTGTTTATCCTGCTGTTTGTTGCCATGTCAGCTACCTCGATATTTTCCTGGTCTTCTTCTGCCCTAGTTCTAGCGTTAGTTCCAGCTGCATCCATATCTCCTAAGCAAGTGGACGGACAAGCTGCCGACATAGCTTTACTTTGCGCGTTTCGGAGCCTGGTAATAACAAAGATATGTTCCCTTATCTTCTTGCTGACTAAAGTGTATGACACCGCCATTATCAAAAGTGGCACTACAAAGTTGATAACAAAGATGAAAATGGAATAAGTATTTTGGTAATGGAAATAACTTGCTGGAAATATTTCTTCGCAGATGTGATAGTCCACACATTTTATCCTGTACACTTTCACAACACGAAAAACCGATGAAGGAATCGATAGCGTAATGGATCCCACCCAGGTGATAATAATCAGACAACGAACTTGTCGGCTGGTCGGTTTGGTAATGAGCGGCTTGACGAGGACGAGACAACGATAGACAGCAAGAATCGCCAAGGTTGTTGTGACGACTAGAAGACTTGCTATTTGCAAAGGATCCACGATCTTGCACATAACAGGACCAAGTTTCCAAGACCACGGCGGTTCATCGGCATGGACTCGAAACACCACGCAAACTGAGCCGAGAATTTCGGCAAAAGCCAAATTGCTGACAAGGTAATGAGCGAACGGTTTAGCTCCGCGCTGTCTCCACACTGCGCGACACACGACAAAGTTTCCAACCAGTGAAAGCGCCATTAACAAGCTAAAAATTACGGTACGAATAATTCGTAAGCCCTCTGGTTCAGGAACGAACGAGTATGAGGTGCCATCTGTCCCGTTGTTTAGCGCGCACGACGACATCATCAGAGAAAGTCCTTCTGCTGGTTGCCGAAGCTTAAGTGACTGAAATTTGAGAAGGAGGTGAAAATCATCTTGTTGAACGTAAAACGAGCTCTAAAGCATCAACTAACCTTTTGGAGAATCTCACAGCGAGTGTCCTTTTCATAAGCCAAACCGTTCATTCGATGGACCTTTAATTTTCATTCGCTTATCAATTTTTTTCAATTTAGTTTTCTATTTAGAAAACTGACGGCAAAACTCCACAAACAAAAAACCTATTAGCAGAAAAGTGGTTTTAAAACCATTATAAAAACAATTACCTTCGTCTGTAATTACAGCGATGTATTTTTATGCCGCTTCAATTCAGAAAATGGTAGAAGAGCGGCGTTCACCTTTGAAAAAAACCCTTCAGCCACTTAGTTCTGATAGGTAAAGTCTGAAAAGCTTCATATCTCAGCCAAACACTCCTTCAATATATATGTTTCGGACTAAGAAATGAATTAAAACACTGCCCGCTGTGTTGACTGAGATAATTGAGCGACGCGGGACGTAAAATATTCAAAATTTGTTGTAAGGTGGCTGTTGATAATCGTAACATTGATGTTGAGCCAAAAAAAAAAGCGCATTCTCTATCCTGTTTACCCTCCACGAAGCTCTTCACCAAAATGGCGCGACAATTTTTCGAGGACGGATATTAAAATTTGAAAGAAAATAGTAAACAGAACTTGAAGCTATCAAATAAGTAAGCCCATTACAACCAGGAACAGCTGCCACCTTTTGGTCATTTACGTACTGAGTAGAAATGAATTGAATAAAACCGCAACTGGAGGTAAAACCGTCTGAATTGCTCAACTTACATTGCACAGTCGGGAGTGACGCCTGCGTGTTTGAGGAAAAAAGACGATAGAATTTAACAGCTATAAGAAACTAAGCTGCATAGCAAAAGAAAAAAAAAAGTGAGAGAACTTTATTTACCATCTATTTTCCTTAACAATCATTGTCTTTTTGAGAGAACAAGAGAAATTATTTGTTTACAATCGAACTGACTTTTAGGCGTCAATTCTGTGATGAGAAGTCTTTTTCACGCAAGTAATTGCACAGCGCTTTGTTTCGATAGTCCTTGACGTGACGTTTTTCTATACCTTTGACTATAGGGGTGTTGGATACAGAAAGGAGTTATTCCTTCGTTTACTTTTCACCATCCCATCAATCGGTTTTACATTATCACCCTGTGTTCCTAATTATAACAGGATGTATTGTTTCTTCGTTTCTATGGGGGCTTTTAAACAGGGTTACTTTAGCTATGTAAAACTCAATTATCATTTTCGAAAGCTATTAGTCAAATTTTGGTAAAACAACCAATTGCAGAGCAGCAGTTTAAGGCTGTTTAAGATGCAATTAACGTCAAATTGGTAATTTAACTCAGGGGTGATTAGGACGCAGAAGCCAGCATTTATCTTCGCACAGCAACAGCTGTATTCAGCGTGGAAGTTGAAAATAACCAGTTTAAATCTGGCTCTCTAGAATTATCATTATCTTTTATTATTTGGGTGCGAGTGCCCGGCGGAGAACTTCGTTTAATTTATGCCACGTCTGGTGTTTTGAATTCACGATCATTATTCATCTTTAATGTGAAAACAAGACTCATTAAATTTTGCTTAAGAATAACCTGGCGTATGGATTAGACAGGCATCAAATGATAGAAAACAATTTTAGCCGAACTGTTAACGATGGGAACATGGCTTCATCATGAGTGTTAACATTAGGATTAAAATCGTTTTTCCTTCTTCCTAAGCCATTTGACGACCAGTCAAGCCAGACGTGAAAATTTTCGCTTCTCTTGTTAAGAACTCAGCAATTAGAAAATTGTTTTGGAAATGTGTTATCAAATGAAATACCTAAACGAACGTAAATTGTCATCATAGAGCGCTCGGTTCGGGAAAAATTATTCTAAGTTCCTTCCTCACAGCCTGTCTTAAGCCTTTTTTTCTTCCAATGATTCATCGACTCATTCATTTTTAATACTTTCTTGTTACTTTCCCTTTTTCCCCTCTCTTTTATTTGTTCACTTGTCCGCCCTATTTTAAATTAACAGAGAAAAAGCGTAATTAAACTATATCAGAAATGTTTATTTAACATCCCTTGTTGAAAACGAAACGTACAAAAATGGAAAATTGGTAAAGAAATTTTCAAACGGGTATCATAAGTGATACGTGTTTGGATTGGTTTTCCTCTCTTACATTTTGTGAGTGGCCTCTTGTGATATTTATTATTTTTCTGAGAGGCCTCTGTGATTTCTTTGGTTATGGTGTTGGTAAGCTTAATCAAAGAACGCTCTAATTCACCAACAATATCTTGGTAGATGAGGCTTCGTATGGCTGACACTCACAAAGATTTGAGTGAAGAGATGATAAACTGTATTCTCTTGATGGAGTGTAATTTAAGAGTTACGTTTTTAAAGCGCCATCATTGTATGAGTTGTCTACTTATCATGTTTTTGCATAGTTAATTGTCTATGTAACATGTCGTTGATTCAATCCTACGCTTTTTGCACAAATACTTGAAACATTTGACTATAGTGGCGCTCAAATGGCGTTATTCGCACTCACCTAACCCCTTGTCAAAATTTCTTACGCTGCAAAACCATTTTCTAAGCATAGATAATTTCATTTTATTAACTCAGTTGATAATGTAAATTGGCCACCCTAAAGAGTTTCTAAATCTGACGTTTCGAGCGTTAGCCCTTTGTTTCGCTCTGACGAAGGGCGAACGCTTGAAACGTTGAATACAGAAACTCTTTACACTATCAACTCAGTTGCATGATACAACCAAATTGTATTGTTTTACAAAAGGGGTAAGTTTCTAAAGAAACTGGTGCTTCATCGGTGGGAGAGTGTAACAGGGCACTTTGGTCTTATCAACTAAGTTGATAACGTAAATTGGCCACCGTAAAGAGTTTTAGAGCTGATGTTTCGAGCGTTAGCCCTTTGTCAGTGCTAATGGAGGAATTGTGGGTTGTGTATGTTTATATGCAGAAAATGGAGTTACGCTATTGGTGTAAATAATGTGACGAAAAAACAATAATAAATTAGTCGAATGATAAGCACTTTTCATTCAACTAATGCGTGGTTGTGAAGGTGAAACGTAAGAGAGGATGGAATGCGATCGGTATTCTAATTCCAAAACGTTGCCTATGTTTTTGACGCGAAAATTGTCCTATAGGTTTCACCACCACAGAGCATCCAACCCCTGTCCACTTTGGTGCTGACTGTCGATCAATTCAATTTGTTGGGCGCCATGGTGGCTCGCTTGAACGACAGAAACAGGATAGCCACATTTATCGAAAAACTGGCATATCCCCTCTAATTTTTTGGGAAAAAAGAAACTGGGAGCTGGTCATTGTGTTGGTCCCAGATAAACCCGTGAGGTGATAAATAACTGACCAGCTCCCAGTTAGCTTGTTAGCTTAGTTGGTAGAGCGCCGCACCAGTATCGTAAACGTCATGGATTCAAATCCCGTACAGGTCTGACTTTTTTTTCAGGCCTCATTTTCACTACTGCTCAACTAGTGTTCATAACTGCGAAGATCGCTTCAATATCCTTTTCCTTATCAGCAGTTCACATATGTGATTTTCATATAATGACAATCAAAATCAGAATCGTCACTGTATAAACGACGAAGTATAAGAAACTGTGAAAAAGACATGAAATTCTTGACGTGTGATGGATGCGAAGATGAATACTCAAAGTAAATATGGGTGTCTTTAGGTTTGTAGCCTAGTAAACACTAGTACATAGACCGTTACCTTCAATTGAAATTTTGATTCTAGAAAAGCCAAGAAGTGTCGGAAATATCCCAGGTATATTTCAGAGCCGGGTGAAGGCAATTGGCGGCGGTTAGAAATTGAGTGAATTTCCCTCTGGTAGAAGACGTTGCGCCGATGCAGTCTTCAATGTAGCGACCGTAGCCGAGTGCAGGTTTAGTTCCGTTGTTTTGACTAAAAAATTGGTGTTCGATAAAACCTATCAAAAGATTGGCGTAGCTGGGTCCCATTTTGGTTCCCGTGGCTACGCCATTAGTCTGTTTGTAATAGTTGCCACCGAATGAAAAGCAATTGAGTGTTAGTGCTAGTTCGGCTACACGGAGTAGTGTTTCAAAGCTAGGTTCCTTAACAGTGCGTGGATCGAAAAAATGTTTGATGCAGGAGACCTTCGTCATTGGGGATGAGAATTTAAAGAGATTTAATATCCACAGTGAAAAGAAGATTGTGATGGCCAAGGAAATTAAAGTCGCGCAAAATTTCAAACGCGTGTTGGCTGTCCTTAATGAATGATGGTAAAATCAGACATTATATACTTTGTCGTACTCCCTCCGGCGCAACACCACAGTTTCTTTAGAAATTTACTCCTTTTATTCCTTTCTAAGCATACCCAAACACCTTTAATTTCAAAAGGGATAAAAAGGCCGGTGTCCATGTTATCTTGAATGACAGACTTGTTTATTAGGATATGAGCAATTTTCATAAGCGTCAAAAGTAATCCTTGATTTCCCTGGTTTCACCTTACTCCGCTCTTTGATTGGTGCAGAAAAACCCGCATCAACCAAACTGAAACCAATCACGATCTTGGTCGCTCGCGCCTCAAGAAGTTTGCCTGTTTTTATTTTGACTTCTCTTTGGCTCCTTGTGATATTTTCCTCCCCTTTGATTGAGTGTTGAAATTACTTTGGTACTCTATCAAAATTTCTCTAAATACGATACTTGGAAATGCCATCCTAGCGGGGTGCAAGGTAGTCCAAAATTCCCTTAAATATCGATTAGAAATTCGAGAGAATGTGAGTATATTACTGCATCGCGACAATTGTCCTATAAGTTTCACCACCGCAAAGCAGCCACCCCTGTCCACTTTGTCTTTTACACGCGAAAAAAATCTTACGCCTAAAAATTCTAACGTGTGTACGGTCAATCCCTCTCCTGAAAGGAAATGGGAATGACGGAAAAGACTCTGAGTTTTTGAGGGGGGGAGGGTGGCTCTCCATGGGAAGAATTCGTGAGGTGGCTGTTTGTATCGGATTCGGAAATCTTGTAAGTCGGGATTTTCCGACCCTTTGTTCTTCTCAAAACCGCTCGATGATCCTTGTCGCTTTGAACCCCGAGAACTCCTAAGGTGTCCTGTTACTTTTCGCTGACCGCTTTTCAGTTTCACGGCTAATCTATTTTGTTCTACAATACCACAATTTTCAATTAAAAATGTCTTCGTGACGGCCACGTGAGGAAAGTCACGAGCCAGCGACAACAGAATTAGTTGAATCAGCGTCGTGCCCATTCAAATTCAATATGGCGGCGATTTCAGTGGCCAAGCGAGCAACTTTGCTCTTTCGAAGATCAATTTTACCTGGTAGAGGAGGGTTTGTATCAGTCAGAGCTCTGTCGGTTACCAGCGGCAAAAGAAAAGAGGAAAGTTTTTTTTCAACCCTTTTTGGATCACAAGTTGAGAAGCCGACAGACGCGCACTCGAAAGTTTTGACGGAGAAGGAAACCCTCTATGAGTTTGAATGTAAGTTTTATTTTGTAAATTGACTAAATTTTTAGTAGTTCATCACTTAACAGTGGTTGTAATATTTCTAAGCCTTATTTGTAGTTCTAGCTTGCTTGTAATCACGAAAGTGTCAAAATTATATGAAAAAGGGAAGGAAGTTTAATAAATGGAACATTAAATCGAGAGTACTGAGAGTACTGGCATTACTGAAATCAGGTTGATCCCACTGAAAACATAGATGAACTGCAGAGCAAATCCTAAAAGAAATTAATATTATTTGCGAAATATAGCGAAGAGAGTAAAATATAAAAATACTTAATTACTGTTGCAGATATTTAATAATACGATTCTAGCAACTCTTATCAAACTCGTCTGTGGGCTCAAAGGAGTGATGGTGGGGAGGGGGGGGATAAAATTTTAACTTCGACCACGAGTAATGGAAAGCGTACAATATTAAATTGGACAAGGACTTTCAAGGTGCTTTCTTTAGCTAAAAGGAATTTGAAAAGGCTGTTGCAGAATTTCATGAGAAAGCATGTGGACTCTTACAGAGCTGGGAGGTTACAGGAGGTGACAGCAGGGGAGGGTGGAGATTTCGGAGGGCTACAGATAAAGTGAACGTTTCCAGACTTGCTATTTATTTTGAATCAATTCCTTCAGTCCAACTTGACATGCATGCCAATCAACATTTATTTTCTTGCTGGCTTGTCTTGTCATTTTATTCTGAAACCACTGTGCCCTTCCCCATTTAACAACCTCTGTGTTTTGTGTCTTCTTTGTAGTCAATGATGTAAAGCCTGAGTGTATTGAAGATTATGTGGGTCTGGTGTAAGTATCTCATTATGAGAACAAGGCTTTTATTGTAGTTGTTGACTACCTTTGACCCTTCCGTTTTCTCTCCTATTTTATGCAAAACAGATGAAAGAATTTTCCTTCATGATCTTCAAGTAGTTTACAATATTTTTGTTATGAAATTGTTTCAGATCAGAGTTTTTACCAAAAATTAGTGAAGATGATCAATTTCCTGGTGAGTTGGTAGGAGCCTGGACAACTATGTTTGGAAGACTTGATCAAGCAAGTATGTAAAACAATCAAATATTAACCTTCTATACCCTAATATCAGTATCTCTATTCTTGATACTCCTCTCTATACATTTCCTTTGGTACTGATAAGGAGAATTGATTAACACTCAGAGCTTCTTAGGTTGGCAATTATTTCCATTATCATTATGAATGATTCAGCAGAATTCCTGTAAGGAGAAATAACATGCTTGGAGCTCTCATGGTTTAAAGGGTGAACATGTTATTTGGTATCCAAATTCAACAGTTTCAGGAAAATTTCTTGAGGAATGTTGATGTTAAAACATCATGCTGTGATATTTCTGCTTCATGATTGGTCTAGTAAACTGAATCGATTGCAAAAGTTTGGCTTCTTTTTTTAGCCACAGTTACACCCCCCCCCCCCCCATGCCATCGCTAAAGGGTCTTACTCTTTTACACCCTAACATCAGTATGCATATTCTCTACACTATTTGAAAGGTACTGATAAAGAGAATTTGTTCAGTAATCAAGAGCTTCTTTAGTGGGTAATAATTTCCTTTCTTCTCTTGATGTTAATGTTTGATTCAGTGGGATTATAAATTACATGATGATAACTCTAAGGAGTCAAAGGGTGAAGAGTTTAAATTGCTTTTTTGTTTGGTTTTTAGTTCATTTTTGGAAGTACAGAGGAGGGTTCAACTCCGTGATGAAGGCTAAGCAGTATGTCAGAGAAAACAAGGTTGGTAAATTTAATTTTTTTACTTTTTATTGCCCCTTTTTCTTGGTATGGTGAAGGCTATGAAAAAAACTGAATTTTTTCAGAAATACTTTAGAAATACTAAGTACAATGTATCTTACTGTCAAAGTAAGAAAACAGTTTCTCAGTCAACATCTCCTTTTGTCCTACCATCATGCAAATGCAGTTGGTGGAGACCAAGAAGTCCTTGTCCAAGAAGTTTTGTTGAAAATTTTGTTTATATTAAAGCAATTTGAAGCACACAACTTTTGATATCTCTTCACTAATATCAATGTAAACACAATTCTGAATTTCTGCTTTTCACATCACTAGAAAGGTACAGTTGCACCTTGTCAACTGGCTTTCACTGTTTACACCCAATTATGGGTATGCATATTCTCCATACTGTTCTCTGTACATTTCCTAAGGTGTTGATCAAGAGAATTTGTTGAACAATCAAGGGCTTCTCATTTCCTTTTTTCTTAGGACCCTAGTGTTTGATTCAGAGGTGATATTACAGGGAGAAATTAGCTGCTAGTCACTCTTAGTGTTAAGGGGTTAACAGCAGAAGATGCATTGTAAATGTACTAAAGATTTTGGCTTCTCTCTCCAGGAGTATCTTGAGTTTGCAAGAAAGAGACGAACCATGTTGAATAACAGGGAAACTCAACTTCTCCATGAATTCACCTTTTTTGGTGAACCAGAGGCACGAGCCCCAAGCCATATCTATGAACTGAGAACATATCATCTTAAGGTAAAAGAAGGATTCTCAGACTTCAGTCTTAGTTTTTATTGGTGTAAACAATACCCTCATGTTACAGTAATACCTAGGCTTTTTAAACACTTTTTTTCTGTTTTATAACCACTTTTAGGACCAGTTAATTATTTGCATTCAGGTGTGATTGGTTTTAATGGGTCACATGACCAAATATGCCACAGTAAAAACTGTGATTCTTATAATGTTAGTTCAGAGAATTTTGTATTGGATCAACTAATTATCTCCAAATTGATATTTTTCTTTATTCTCATCACTCATCTGGTTGATATTGTATTTAATATTGTAAGGAGAAATTCTGTCCTGGTCACTTGTGGGAGTTAAAGGGTTTAAGCTAAGTTAAACATTTTCTTTAATCTTTTCTTTTAATGGAAAGCTGTCTGCTTCTTGAAATAAACAATGTGAAAAAAAAAATATGATTTTCATGCTTCACTGTAAGAGGCATTTTATCAGAAGGGATCAATATATGTATATGTACTTTTTCCACTCATGTATTTGAGTGAGTAAACAAAACTGTTGTTTATGAAGTATGTTTGCATTTCAATACCTTCATATCCATAAACTGCTAACCACTTGTTTTTCTGCAATTTTCAGCCTGGTACCCTTATTGAGTGGGGAAATAATTGGTAAGAAGCACAAAGGCATTCTTGTATCTTGGCTGAAATATTGCTATTCATAGGAAAGTTTAGATCTGCAATGTCTAGCACAACTCTTAAGATGCTGTTCCTTTCCCTCTCAAATCTTGGTAGCAGTGTTCATACCCGAGCACTTTTTGTATCTTTTTAGTGTTATCTGACATAACAAGTAGGTAAAAATTACAGTTGGTAAAGGTTTTGACTCCTTGTTTTATTTTCCAGGGGTCAAGCTATTCAGATTCGTCAACAAGATGATGATGCTGTGGCTGGCTTATTTTCCCAGATAGGAGAACTTTATGTTGTTCACCACATTTGGGGTAGGTCTTGTTCCACTTCACATGTTTTACAAATTCTGTATCATTGTGCAGTCCTTTCCAAAAGTTTGTCTGGGAACAATACTACCTTTGTTACAGCTACCTTTTAACCCTTTAAAAAGTACATCCTTACCGTCAACCAGATAATTCTTACAATGTTAGTTCGGATAATTTAGTATTAGATCAACTAATTATCCCCAAATTGATATTTTTCTATATCCTCATCACTTAGATGGTTGATATTGCATTGATATTGTAAGGGGAAATTCTTTCTTGGTCACTCATGGGAGTTAAAGGGTTAAAACATCAAACCTTTTATGAAAATTATGATTTTTCATATATTTCATAAAGCTTATGAGGATCTTGCAACCAGACAGAAGATAAGGCAGAATATGTGGAACAGGCCTGGATGGGACACATGTGTTGCTAACACTGGTATGTCATACCTTTATGAAATCATGGAATCTCTTTTCAGGGTTTACTTTGGGTTACAAAATTTTGCTCTCAATAGAGGTTTCCTGTCAGTTGGGATTGATATTTGTGTTACTTCAATAAGGCTTTCCCTGAATCTGTTTCCAAGGAGTTTTTTTAAAGGAATTTTGAAAAGAAACAATGTTAGGCTACTTGCAATAACTCCTTGTAGGAGTTGCTGTAAGAATCAGTGAAGAAAAAAAAATTGTAGCTGGCGCATGGAACCCTTGGAGTGATGCCCCGATTTCTGTGCCACACGCTGGGAGTTAGGCACATTTTTAGAGGATTCTTCTTTCCCAAGGAGCAATCTGATCATAATTTGTAATGAAAAAGAATTTCATTTGACCTGTGATGAAAATCAAATTTATCTCCAATCATTAAAAATTATGAACAGTCATTGATCATAATTTTAACACTTTTTTCCATTTTGTATTTTAGTTCCGCTGATTCGTCGAATGGAATCAAGAATAATGATTCCTTTGCCATTTGGACCTCTTCAGTAATCGCACAAAATTTTTTGGTACTTTTTGGCAACATCAGGATTATAATACCACGTATACCTGTACTTTTGCCCTGCTTCATTAACCCTTTGACTCTCAGGAGCAATCAATAAATAGATTCTCCACACTGCTCTTGTACACTGGCATGCAGATAAGTATTGAGAATCACCAAATTATCAACTATGGGAATATTTTCTGAGAACCAGCCAACAGAGAAATGTGCTGATGATATAAGTTGAGAGAATTCACTCTCAGATCTTGAGAAGTAAAGGGTTTGCTCCACAACAATAGTACCAATTTCATTTATACCTTTTGATGACAGAGACAAAAATTTATATGGTTTCAAGGGAGACCTTTTTTTTTTTTTCGTGATGTAATGGAGGAAAAGTCTGTGTAGAGGAACACAGCTAAAAGATAAATGTATACTCTTAGACCTACTGTTATACTCAGATGATTTGGGTTAATTGATTTTATAAAAAATGCCTCTTTCTTGATGACCAATCACTACCTCTTTTATAAGATATGTGTATTGATTATGTTAGGAAAATTCAGGGAAAAATTATTGTCATATCCTATATATTTAGCAATTAATTCTAAACCTGGTCATTTGATCAGTATTACTCTAAAAAATCGCAGATAATGATCTTGTGATTCATTCTGATACTCATAGCTCATTGAGAAGCTGTAATGTCTCCATTTTTAAGGGACTTGTGTGTGGGTTTATGCCTGATTTGTGTATGTGGGGTAACTTTTTTTTTCATTTACGTCTTTGAATAATTACTACATGAGCAATTATTTTTCTGAACCACAATCTGGAATTTTATTTAAAGCATTTGTTTTCATTGTGACATGGAAGTATGCTATTGGTGTTATCAAATGTTCCATTCTTCTTCCTGAAATATTTATTTGATTTCTTTTTCCCGTGTGAGGCTGTTTCGAGAGGTTTACAGTTCATAAACTGAAAGCGGGGCCATTCAGACCTTGAAAATTAATCAGAGAGCAGAACTGAAATAGTAGATGTCAATTTGTGCTATTCCACCAAATTAAATGTCGAGTACAAAACAAACGAATCTTGACTCGTTATTTACGAATTACGGTTAGATCGCAGCATGGTTAGATCGCTCCAACCAAAAGTTAGATCGCTCCA